AATTCTTCAGCATGTAGACTTTTTGTGGCTATCTACGGTGTAGAAAGAAGGATTTCCAGTTCTGCAAGATCATTCCACAGTCTTTCTGTTAGTGAAACATTAAGGTTATCTACACCTTCGAAGATTCTCGTCTCCTGTTAATTCTTCAGATTGTAGCTTTTTGGTCACTATATACGGTGTAGGATGAAGAATTTCCAGTTCTGCAAGATCAGTCCACAGTCTTTCTGTTAGTGAAACATTAAGGTTATCTACACCTTCTAATATTCTCGTCTCCTGTTAAATCGTCAGCTTGTAGCTTTTTGTGGCTATATACGGGTTGTGAAAAGTAGGATTTCCAGTTCTGCATTAATCATTCCACAGTCTTTCATTTCAGTGAAGAACATTAATATTGCATTCTTCCAGTCTTGATTCCGTCTCCTGTTAATTCTTCAGATTGTAGTGTTTTGGTGGCTATATACGGTATAGAAAGAAGATGAGTTTCCAGTTCTGCAAGCTCATTCCACAGTCTTTCTGTTAGTGAAACATTACGGTTATCTACATCTTCTAACATTCTTGTCTAAAGTTAATTCTTCAGATTGTAAGCTTTTTTGTAGCTATATACTGTGTTGAAAGAAGGATTTCCAGTTCTGCAAGATCATTCCACAGTCTTTATGTTAGTGAAACATTAAGGTATCTACACCTTCTAAGATTTCTTGTCTCCTGTTAATTTTTCAGATTGTAGCTTTTTTGTGGTGTATAAAGAAGGATTTCCAGTTCAAGATCATTCCACAGTCTTTCTGTTAGTGAAACATTAAGGTATCTACATCTTCTAAGATTCTCGTCTCCTGTTAATTCTTCAGATTGCAGCTTTTTGGTGGCTATACGGTATAGAAAAAAAGTTCCAATTCTGCAAAATCATTCCACTGTCTTTCTGTTAGTGAAACATTAGGGTTATCTACACCTAACATTCTCGTTTCCTGTTAATTCTTCAGATTGTAGCTTTTTGTGGCTATATACGATGTTGAAAGAAGGATTTCCAGTTCTGCCAGATCATTCCACAGTCTTTCTGTTAGTGAAATATTAGGGTTATTCTGCATTCTTCTGAAAAAAAGTTCTTAATCCTAACAACCACTTTATCATCAAATATGTACTTTCCCCATCACGTTGCTTGATTAATAATTGCTCATTTTTCCTGCTCGCTTCCTTAAGAATGGCATCAATTTTGGGAGTTCTTGCTTGCTTACCTAAATTCGCCAATGAGATTAGAAACTAAATGAATCAGTTTAATCAATAATGGCAAATATCACATCCTTCCTGCTCCCTTATATTTATTTACTAATATGTCAATAAAATAAAAAATAACTATTTATTGATGTATATGGTTCATAAATAAAAATATTAACTCAGTTTGTCATTATTTTTTTTCAGTTCACTTTAATTTCATTTCAAATTGAAACTGTCCAATAAAAACTGGAGTCGGAGTCAACATGTTTTTTAGCGACTCTAACTCCGACTCCTTTTACCGAAAAATCTACCCGACTGTATGACTCCGACTCCACAGCTCTGAATAATAATAAATATAAACTTGCCAGTTTAGAGGAGAAATATTTTTTCTCCAACTTCAATTTGTATTTAAATAAATCAGTTTATACAGATAAACAGAGTTTTTTGATAGTTGGAGTCATATTTAATTACGCACCTTTTCATTAACGCTGATTTTTAGGAAGTTACTGAAAAAATTTAAGAAAAAAAAATAAATATAAAAATAAACACTGAGGGGGTCTGGTATTTAAAGGGGTGTCAAAATTTTTAAAAACCTTTTTATAGCATTTATTATCGTCAGATCATTTCAAAATTTCTCTTTAGTAAGTGTATTGAGGTACTTTTCCAGCAAAAAAATTGAAAAAATCGGTAATTTCATTGATTTTGAGGTACCCGGATTTTGACTTGCGGCTGCTTGTTGAGATATATCCTGTTTTTAAAGTCACTGATTTTTCAAAGAAATGTTTCAGATTTTTTTTAAATATAAAGAATATCAACGAAAAAAAAAAATCTTATATAATTTTGTTGTTCGTATGCTAATCTGCCTATTCTGTATTACTTTTAATTTTCATCTTCGAAATATTGCGTATAGTGAAGCCGTCAGTGTATGGTGTGTTCGGACTGAACCAGTGCTTCAGTGGCGTAGCTAGGGTGGGGCAAAGGGGGACATCTGTTCCCGGGCACAGCATCCAGGGGGCGCCAAATTGATGGTACGAAATTTTAGAATGAAGTGTTTTCAATTCATGGCACACAGAAAGGGGCGCAAAATCTTCAGTTGTCTCCGGGCACTGAAAACCCTAGCTACGCCTCTGCAGTGCTTCCTAGTAAATCTAGGAGGCACTGACTGAACACACTCAGTGGCGTATCTAGGGTGGGGTATCTGTCTCCGGGCGCAGCATCCAAGGGGCGCAAATTCTTCAGTTGTCCCCAGGCGCTGGAAACTCCCTGAACACGCTGTACTGGTCCTGTCACGTGGGTGTGAGTCACAGAATCTGGTCTTGTGCTTCAAACATGGGGGAGCCTAAGAGCCAGATTTATTTATATTTGTTTTTATTCTTTTCTGTTTTTGGTTTTGAAGACATGAGCGCTTTTTTTTCACTTAGCTTGATTAATGATTGATGCAGTTCTGCTGATTGACAACCCTGTGTTTAACCCTTTCCGGCACGCTACTCTTTAAAGTTGGAATTTTACCAAAAACATTTGTAGGCAGTCTATTTAGGCCTAGGAGGGTATGCAGGTATAATTTTACAAAGACTGCACAAACCGTTTCCGTTTTGTGGGTGTATCCGAAGCGCCCCACAAAACTGAGCCGCACGAGCTGTGATAGGTGAGCAGTGCTGTGAAGCACGTATTACAGTAAAATACTTTGTCTATGATTTAAAAACAGTCGAATCTGATCTCTGTAGCAGATTTAGCATAACCCAGGAAACTCTCATTGCTTCGGCAATGCTGAGGCCTCTCCTAGCCATTTACACAATTTTAAAATTTATAAGAAAAGTATTAAATACTATAATATTTACAATTAATTATTGACTAGGAAAATAATTATTAAATATATATTACAAATAAAATCTACAGAAATCAAAACTGAGCAAACTACGCACCGGTGAAAGAAAGTAAGAGAAAAAAAGGGACTGCTCTCACTGAAAATCAAATAAGCTAAGTGAAAACAAAAAGCGCTCATGGGTCTTCAAAACTAAAAACAGAAAAGAATAAAAACAAATATAAATAAATCTGTGAAGCTCTCAGGCCTCCCCCATCGTGCTTGAAGCACGAGACCAGATTCTGTGACTCACACCCACGTGACAGGACCAGTACAGCGTGTTCAGGGGTAGTTTCCAGCGCCTGGGGACAACTGAAGAATTTGCGCCCTTGGATGCTGCGCCGGAGACAGACAGATACCCCCCCCTAGATACGCCACTGAGTGTGTTCAGTCAGTGCCTCCTAGATTTACTAGAAAGCACTGCAGAGGCGTAGCTAGGGTTTTCAGTGCCCGGAGACAACTGAAGATTTTGCGCCCCTTTCTGTGTGCCTGAATTGAAAACAACTTCATTCTAAATTTCGTACCATCAATTTGGCGCCCCCGGGATGCTGTGCCCGGGAACAGATGTCCCCCTTTGCCCCACCCTAGCTACGCCACTGAAGCACTGGTTCAGTCCGAACACACCATACACTGACGGCTTCACTATACGCAATATTTCGAAGATGAAAATTAAAAGTAATACAGAATAGGCAGATTAGCATACGAACAACAAAATTATATAAAGATTTTTTTTTCGTTGATATTCTTTATATTTAAAAAAAATCTGAAACATTTGTTTGAAAAATCAGTGACTTTAAAAACAGGATATATCTCAACATTAATGATTTGCTTGTGTGGTGCTGCCATCTATTATTCATAAAAGAGACTAAAAGTAATCATTAGTGTAGTTTTCGTGATATATATCGATTATTTTCAGTGTCTAAAGAGGGAATATTTTTGGTGTGTTCACACCGAACACACTGCGCTGGAAAGAGTTAAAGAGAAGTTACTTCATATTTAAAAACTGGGTATAAAATATGTTCCTGATAATATGTCGAGTTGATCTCAACATCTTCACTCTTTTTATTTCTAATTTGCCGTTATATGAAAAACCAACAACAATCATAAATCCCTTTGAAAAACTTTCGTTAGTTTCTTTGGACATGTTTTAAGATATTTTCTCCTCTTTGATGATCATTAATGTATCTCTTTTTATTGAAATTATTTAAATATACCCAAAATTCATCTATTGGGACAACATTTTTCCATTTCTTTCGGGATAAATATTTCTTACAAAGAATTCTACAGCGCGTTCTGCGTTCGGGATACGTCGTGAAGAAAGACAATGCACATTGCACATTGCCTTTTTAAGATTCAAATCAGCATTAATCACTTTGTTTATAGTTGACATGAGCATTTTAATTATTTTGCAAGTGACCTTTTTGACTTGCCGGATTTTCTTTTCTTATCTTTTCAAAATTCGGTATCCGTTTTATCTTTGGATTTGCATTTAGAACAATGTTTCCACTTGAAGGCAACTTTCACTGGTTTTGTTTTTCTTTCTCGTTGTCAATATTACCTCTCGTAGCTTTAGTAAGAAAAGAAAAAGAAAAACATAAAAAGCGTGGCTTTCACGACACTGGATACGAATAACTTTCATCGGAAAGAGCACAAGCATAACCTTCCATTCATTACTCTTTTAAAACAGCCATTTTACATAAAAACAAAACTATTAAACAGCAGACGATAATTTGTACTTTTAAAAATATAGTTGCAGTTGAAAAAAATTTCTAAGCACACGGTTTTTTTATAGCAAAGCAAAATCGTCCAAAAATTGTGCGAACACTCTCTAAATGCATAGCAGTTATTTAAACTAGAATCTGAAAAGAAATTTTAATAATATATGTAATGCGATAATAAGCTAGTTCAATGAATGAAACGCATGTAGGATGCTTTTTGTTTTATTTTTTACATCTTAGGTCATTTAAATATTTTCTTACAATGAGTTCCGCGAAATTACATTCAAATTTTTTGAAGCAAAATAAACTGTATCACTCTTCCATTGCTTTTTTCATAATAACTTCAGTTAATCAATTTACTCACATCTAATCTAAAATCCATTGTAGGGTGCTCCAACTAACTCATCGGTGGATTTTGTTGGCGGTGGTTCATCCAGCTAAATAGAATAGAGAATAAAACATTTCCTCCATTATATAAGGCGAGTTTAACATTTTGAAATTTTAACTTTATGATTTGAAATGAAAAAATAAATTTCATCATGTTTATATGAAAATAATTATTACTAAAGCTTTTATGTTTCGTGGAAATCAGAATGGAGAAACTTTTAGAGCATCTCTCTTTAACAAAGTTAAAAAAAAAAAAAAAAAAAACAGCTCTTTTGGAACAGCTTTCATCTCAAGCAATAGAAATCATGTTTTCATGCTTTTGTTAAAGAAGAACTTTACAAACACATAAGATGTAAGATAAAGAGTTTAAAATTAAATACGCCAATCGTTAGCTAATCAGCTACTCTTAATCAACATGATGGATGCGATATTTCCATACCACCTGAATTATAAATTAACCCAGTTTCTTACTGGACATGGGAATTTTAAAAGTTATTTGAACAGATTTAAGTTGAGTCCTGAGTCTGTCTGTGACTGTGTCCTCGGCGGCGAGGAGAATGTAGAACATGTGCTTCTTCTATATCCTAAATATGAGAACGAAAGAAAAGTCTTGAAACTGGGACTGAAAAATTTTAATATTAACTGGCCTCCAGAGTTTTACCAATTTATTTCCGAGAGAAGTGCTTTTAACACTTTTTGTCAATTCATTGTAAAACTGTGTAATCATCCTTAATTTTATTTCAATTTTCTCTTCTGTTTAGTTTGTATTGTGTTTCTTACTTACTTCTGTAAGCCCCATGTGATACTATGTGGTACATGGGGAACTTATTATGTTTCTTTAATAAAAAAATTATTGCCACCAAATACTATTGCCCCGTATTATCTTTAAAGGAGTTAAATAATGAAGAATCCGCATGTATGTATGTATTAAATCCCCGCTGTTTCGTTTTCGGTTTAGCGTTCTTTTATTTCACCCGGGATTCCACGAAATCGCTCGCAGCATACGGGGATTCCCCGAAATATTATGCAGCGATAGGTTTCAAATACATATCCGAAAGAGTGTACTTGTATTTCTTGTTTGGTGCGGTATTGTACAGACATATTTTGAAGGGGTAAATGTGGAAGATGTCGAAGAAATAATTCAAGAAGCAGCGGCTAGTCTTTCTAATGATGAGCTCAAGGAATTAACTGAACAAGAAGAAAACAAAAATGTTGACAGCAGTGATTCAGAAGAAGAGCAAAAAGAACTTTCGATGGCGTTTGTAAAAAGGAGTTTGTCTATCATAACTGAAATAATGGATCAATTCATTGAAAATGATCCGAATTTTGACAGGAGCTCAAAAGTAAGGCGTGTTTCTTTTAAGAAAAAAAAAGAAAAAAACTAGCAGTTTTTATCCAGTAGAAAACAGTTTGTTCTATTTGCGATAGAAAGTTAGTAAATTTTTTTCTGTATTGGAAATTTCATTGAAGGATTATTTCGTTACTATTTTATTATATCCACATTTTTTTTCCATTGAAAAATGCGTATTAAATTATTTTGTTAAATTATCTAGTTCAAAATACTGCATTCAATAATAATAACCAGTGTATTGTAAAATACGCTGGTTTTCCAAAAATTAAGGAAAAATCACAAAAACACCGATAACTCCCTCAAAAATTAGCCAAGCCGTATAAAATTTGAATATGTAGTCAAATAAGAATTGATGAGTAAAACTGCAGTATGTAAATTAGTGGCACTGCAATCGGAGTACGTTACCTGCAAGGCGACTAAAACTGCATGTTTGAGAGCAAGATTTCAAATTTCGCTGTGATACTGAGATAAAATCTGGGACAGCCAATTTGCAACAATGACCTCCAGGCGCATTTTCTCGAAGAACTGCGATGGAGAGCATATGGGAGACTAGAGGCAGGTCAAAGTCGGGCAGAAGTGGCTAGACGGCTAAGTAGGAGTCTTTCTGAGGTTCACAGACTTTGGCAACAATTTTTACCACAGATTCGGCATCCAGGAGTTTTAGCCAAGGACGGCCAACTACTACGGCGAGCAGTTATGACGATATTTGTTGTTATGCGCACTAAAGAATAGAACCTCAACTCTGGCTCAACTGAGATCTTTTCTTGCTGAAGCCACTGAAAGGTTGGTGTGACTGTCAACCGTGCGTAGAAGGCTTCCCAAAGTAGGTATGTATGCGAGGCGTCCTAGCCATTTACGTTCCCTTTTCGTCATGTCATAGAAGGGAATGTTTGAGGTGGTCACGTCAGCATGTCCACTAGACGTTTGATCAGTGGGAGCTGCACTCTTTACGGATGAGTCCAAGCCCCAAAGTGACAGTAAGCGTTACATGATTTGGAGAGAACCTGGAACCCGTTATCATCCATCAAAAATCCGTGAAAGAGATGCATACGGAGGAGGCAGTGTCTATGTTTGGGGAGGTATCTCTTTGGGAGGACGCATAGACCTCCATGTCTTTCCATGTGGAACCGTGAATGATCAGGTCTATAGAGATGATACCCTTGATGCTTAGGGCAGGGCAATAGGTGATGATTTCCTGCTGCAGGACCACAACGCTAGACCGCACAGGGCTTGCATCGTGGATAATTATCTTAAGCAGCAAACAATTCAACGCATGGAGTGGTCAGCTCAATCTCCGGACCTGAATACTATCGAGCAAGTTTGGGATGCTTTAGGAAGACGTATAGCTACTCTCAATTCTTCTCTTCAGACTCTTGCCATGCTTGCAACTGCTTTGCAAAAGAAATAGTTCTCACTTCCTATGGAACTGATAGACCGCATAAAAGATAGCATCGTACAAGGCTGTACTTGCTGTATTGCTTCTAGGGGAGATCATACTCTATACTGAAGGTAATTTTCTTATACCAAACTCTGACACGTACGATTTGTTCATTTTATACATATGCTAATCTTATAACACCATAATATTCTAGCAATTTCTTTCATATTATTTTATACCTTACTATGTGTTGTATATTGTGAATGAGTTTCATTAAATTCTACAGGTAACTTTTTGAGTAATCGTTCTTTTTGTGATTTTTCCTTAATTAATGATAACTGATAACCAGAGTACATATAGTAACTAATAGGACATGCCCAAAATCAGTATTTAAGGGGACTCATACACCTTAAACCCCTTATGATCTTCGAATATGTGACTGTTGCAAGAATTGGGATATTTTATTTATTTTAAAAGCAATTACTTCCAACTTTTTACATCTGACTACATAATATAGCTGCTTTGGAAAATAGTAACCAGAAAGTTTGTGTTGCCACAAATATTTTTGTAATTTAATCCTCTTTGTGACAAAATATTTCGCCATGTTTCCACCTTGCGCGCATGATATTTTAAAAATGGCTAATGGTACATACTTGAAATTGGACGGAATTCTTTATATGGGCACTACTTTCTAACTGAACCAACAATCTAACGAATATTTTAATATTGAAGAATTTTATGAACGAAAACATTAAAAATTTTTTTAATAAAATACATTTTATAAACTTAACACAAAATAAAATAAAAATTTAACATGAAATTTTTAGAATTTTAGGTTCACAGTAGTTTCCAAATGTTATAAAAGCTATATATTAAATATGGAATTAAATTACGCAACAGAATGTTTTAAACTGTGTGCGCAAGGTGGAAACATGACGAAAAATTTTGTCACAAAGAGGATTAAATTATAAAAATATTTGTGGAAACACCAACTTTCTGATAACTATTTCAAAAAGCAGCTATATTATGTAGTCAGCTGTAAAAGGTTGGAAGTCATTGCTTTTAAAATAAAGAAGTTATCCCAATTCTTGCAACAGTCACATATTCGAAGATCTTATGGTTTTTAAGGTGTATCAGTCCCCTTAAGGTAACCACCGGTAGCTTACTGTTTTGAACGCTTGTATAATTCTCTTCTAAAATTTCTTTTCATTCGGCTATGGGTTAAAAATTTCAGTTTTTAAAAAATGCTTTTTCAATAAATAATAGACAGTAAAACAAAAAAAGTGTTTTTTTTTTTTTTACTGCTTTCTTTGCTGGAGGGCGCTGTAGTTGTTTTTTTATTTACCACTGAATTTTCTAAATACAGATAGTATGCATTGGCATTTTATTAGATTTCGATGGATTATTTTTGAAAATTTCGTTGACTAACTTGAGTTATATATATAAATATTGATAACGACTTGATTTTAACGTTATATATATAAATTTATAATTAATGTCTGATATGACAAAATGTCGTTTTCACTAATTTAATCTTGAAAAATATGATTACGGTATATTTGATGTAAATAAATAGTAATAAATATTATTTCTAGCCATTAATTGCGCTAAGTAATTACGTCATTCAAAAATGTATGAATCTACTTCTGTGATGGAATTTTAAATTAACCTGAAATAATTAAAAAAAGTAAATGCTATAATAACAACTATATCGTTTCCACAGTTTATAATGTTGAATACGTTTCATTCTTTATCTCTTGTTTGTGTCAGTAAGCTCGTTTTTCACTGTTGCTTTCCAGTTGCTTAAATTCTATATACAAACTTATATAGAAAACAAAGAACTTCTCTGGTTAATTCTACATAAGTTTAATGTCTATGTAGAAAGTTAATAAATATTAATTAAAATTTCTTAAGCCTTTCGAATAAATGTTACTTTATTGATATTCATACATACATAGGTCACACTGAAATTTTTTAGATACGCGCAGACGGTAAGTGGCAGAAAAAAATTAACAGTTAAATTTAAAAATATGAACTGTTTTAGCCTAGTAGACCATTTTTTATTGGCTAATTGCAAGTAGTTTAACGTAGAATAAATTTTAAGGAAAAATGGAGTTGACGCGATAACATTATTGAACTATGACTTTCTATGATTTTAAAATGGGATTAAATCAAGAAGAATGCGTTCATTTCCACATTTTGAAGTGAATCTTCACTTCAACATTTTAAAGTGAAGATTCTTCTCGTGCTACTGTATTCAGATGGTTTACAGAATTTCACAGAGATAGCAACTCGCTTCAGAATGAAGAATACACAGGAAGGCCATTGTCAACTGTAATGTCAGATAATGTGCCTGCCATACGGAAAATCTTAATCGATGATTATCGCTGCACCTACCAAATGATATAGAAGGATATTTGCATTGGATCCACCAATATAAAATTATTTATGAAGAACTGCATATGAAAAACTAGTTTATCATTGGGTTTCTCCATAATTTAACTGAGTACCAAAAAGAGGAGTGTGTCAGAATCAGGAAAGAAACCCTTAAATTACTTAAAGTTGGTGGCCACCGCCTTCTTTCTAAAATCGCAACTAGTAATGAAACGTACATACCATTTTTTGACGTTCCGACACGTCAAGTGAGTAAAGTATGGATCTTTGAAGATGATCTCACAGCCACAGTTGTGAAAAGAAAACGTGCCATGAAAAATGTAATGTATGATGAAGACCCTTAAATTCAATCAGGAAAGAAGTTAGGAAATCAGAAGAAGAATCAGGAAAGAAACGCTTAAATTACTTAAGGTTTGTAGAGTCATTAGGTTAATTGGAAGCAGAAAAGATGAGAAATATGCAACCGCCTTCGCCGTGAATCGAACCACGGACCTCTGGAATACCGGCCCAGCGTGCTACCGTTACACCACGAAGGCACGCTAGGGAAGTGGGAGAAATACCTTATAAGGTTGGTGGCCACCACCTTCTTCCTAAAATCGCAACTAGTAATGAAACATAGTACCATTTTTTGACGTTCCGACCTGTCAAGAAAGTATGGATCTTTGAAGAGGATTTCACAGCCACAGTTGTGAAAAGAAAACGTGCCACGAAAAAAGTAATGTATGATGAAGACCCTTAAATTCAATCAGGAAAGAAATCAGGAAATTACAAGAAGAATCAGGAAAGAAACGCTTAAATTACTTAAGGTTGTAGAGTCATTAGGTTAATTGGAAGCAGAAAAGATGAGAAATATGCAACCGCCTTCGCCGTGAATCGAACTACGGACCTCTGGAATACCGGCCCAGCGTGCTACCGTTACACCACGAAGGCACGCTAGGGAAGTGGGAGAAATACCTTATAAGGTTGGTGGCCACCTCTTTCTAAAATCGCAACTAGTAATGAAACATACATACCATTTTTTTGACGTTCCAACCTGTCAAGATAGTAAAGTATGGATCTTTGAAGAGGATTTCACAGCCACAGTTGTGAAAAGAAAACGTGCCACGAAAAAGAGTAATGTATGATGAAGACCCTTAAATTCAATCAGGAAAGAAATCAGGAAATCAGAAGAAGAATCAGGAAAGAAACCCTTAAATTACTTAAGGTTGGTGGCGACAGCCTTCTTTCTAAAATCGCAACTAGTAATGAAACGCACATACCATTTTTTGACGTTCCAACCCGTCAAGAAAGTAAAGTATGGATCTTTGAAGATGATCTCACAGCCACAGTTGTGAAAAGAAAACTTGCCATGAAAAAAGTAATGTATCACTTCAGAAGTACAATACTGATCAAAGCTAGAAAAACAGAGGTCAGTCACAGCTGAGTAGTACACCCCTAAGTGCCTTCCAGAAATTCTTCAAGAAATGAACGTTAGAGGATTTATGCTCCACCATGACTATGCATCTTCTCGTTGAACAAGATTGACAGTTGAGGTTCTTAAACAAAAACACACCAAAATGATAGACGATCCACCATGTTCACCCGGTATAACTTTTTAATCTAAAAAGAACTTACGTGGACGTCATTTTCACCCCGAAAATAAGATTGATGGAGCTATAAATGCATTTTTTCATCGACTCCAAGAAATAAATGATTTGAGGCATTTAATCTTTGTAAAATTCCCCTACAGTTAATTGACACTTACCTGAAATATTTGGAAACCTTCTCCATCGCATTCTTCTTCGTCACAGTCATTTATGTCGACTTTTGAAAGAGTGTGACAAGTTCTCGTAAAATTCTCTTCTTCAATGAAATTCTGAATCGCCAAACCGGTGCAGTCGCTATTATGTGAGCAATTTTGGAGACACGTTATGAAGTAGCTGTCGTAGACACTTTCAAGAATCCATTTTTCGTGCAGTTTTCCTTCAAATGAAAATTTGTAAAAAAGCATAGAAACATTAAATGTAAGAACACAAGTTGAAATACACAGAAATATCGTAAGATGAAATAATGTTTTCTTCATGTTTTTGATTAAATTTTATACATCTAATGTTGAATTATTCTCGTGTATTTGTGTATTTGTGTATTCTCATATATTCGTGAATAGAATTAACAACTTAGCTTAATAAATTAATAATAATTAAATCGAAAAAGTTGTGCTAAAGGCAATTCAGAAATATATTAATAAAAATACTAATTTCTAAAATTAACCCTAAATCAGCAAGTAAGTTAAAATAAAGACCGTGGGAATCTGCAAAAATCTATGATTGTCTGTGAAACGCTTAAAGTAGGGAAAACAGCAGCTGTTAACGACGCAGATGATAGAACATCTCTAACCGCACAATCTGCCTTCTCTGTTGATATCCGTGACCCTCTCATATTTCCGTGACAGACATTCACTTAGCAACATTGGCAACTCTGTCTGTTTCATATTTCAAAACTAAGAGAAAATATTTGCGTGAGGATCTTCAATACAGAAAAAATCAGCAGAATGTTTGGATATGAATAAATTTGTATTCTGTTTACAAAACGATATTTCCCCTCTTTACTATCTCCATAGCAATGTAAAAAGTGTGGCATAAAATGTCTAATCGGAACTGAATTTTAATTTTTGATTTCAAACAAGCTCATAGAAATTAGGGAAAACAGTTCACCTCTATCTATTAATTTAAAAATGGCTGCCTACATTTGAAATTAAACCTTACGTAAGGTACGAATACAATTCAAATTTTGTATCTCTAAAATATATATCGTACGCAAATGATTCAAACTATAAGAAGTGATGAGTACTAATAGTCCGTCTCGTTCTCCTTTTGATAAATAATTTGGCCAAAGGAAAAGAGAGTGTTTCCCTTAGAAAGTCCTTCATGACACCACCAGTTCGCAGACAAACAGCCCATACCCAACAATCAACCAGACAACAAACAAAATAAAGACTACATCAACTATGCGGAAGTAGAGCATTCCTATGTAACAATCATAAAACAAAACTGCTTAATGTGGCGAAACAATTAAGGTAAATTTATTTACATTGGAAAAAAAAAAAATTAGTATTTCCAACCTCCAAAAACTCAGATTTCACTAAACAGAATTTAAAACAAATAAATAATAAATATATATTTTTTTATAAACTTTCAGATTTTATATTACGCCCAAAGGTTTTTTTTTTTTTTTTTTTTTTTTTTTTTTTTAACGTTTCGTGTTGTAATTTAAATTTAGGGGTACTCCTGAAACAAAACTTAAAATTTTAAAAGAATGGTATAACAAAGGGACGAGAACAGTATCGTATAAATTTCCCGTTTCCAATATCATCTTTTGGGTATTGTCAAAAAAAAAAAAAAAAAAAAAAAAAAAAAAAAAAAAAAAAAAAAAAAAAAAAAAAAACAAAAAAAAAAAAAAAAAAAAGAGAGAGAGAGAGAAAGAAATGTCGTTACAAAATAAAATAAATAAATAAAAAAACAAAAAGAAACGAACAAAAAAATCTCCTTGCTATTCGTAATTAGGGTTTGTCGACTGATAACGAGATTTCGTCCTTCAACTTGGAGTTCGAAGCGGCCATGGAACTTTAATGCCACCAACCTAAAAACAAAAGAATTCTACCGCTCAAAGAGGCGGAGATCCTAGGATGACACCGCCGCGCGCATCTCACATCCGAGTCCACTGCACCGCGAAGGTTACCGAAGGCCCAGTTTAGGAAGCGAAAGTCGAAAAAGCGTTTTGGGACCTTGAAACTGCCGGGTTCTGTCCTTGAGATGCTCCATTTTGACCTGCGAGCTGCCTTGGTTCAATGTTTCGGGAAGCTAAGGTGAATGAAACAGCGCAGTTCGTTTCACCTTTATTTACTAAACATCATTTTCTTCCCACTTAAACCATAAAATTCAGTTCAAGAGCAATATCGCAAAGTAATTTAAAAAGAGCATATCTTTAGAAGTATTTGATTTGTTAGATATTTGATTTTGAAAGAGCATATTTTTGAAGTTACTTATTGCCATTATTGTTTATGTTGTTTGTAATGTAATGTTTATGACTGCATATTTGCCTTGGTTGTAAGTTTGATTTCCTGCCCAGGGAATGTACTGCCCGGGACGTGCAGTCCTTGAATAGGGGGCAATCAGTACTTTTCTCTTGAGAAGAGATTTGGTGATACGTTTTATCAGGGAAAGTGTCCGTCACTTCATAAGACCTTGAGATGTTAGTAATATTAGGAAGAGCGTTATGTTATTGACATGGAGGACAGGGTCACAAGAGCGTTATGTTATTGACATGAAGGACAAAGTCACGCCTCAAAGAACGTCATCAGTGTATCACCATGGACCTTATAAGAAATAGACTAACCCAGTGGGCGGGGCGAGCGTCACCGACATCTCCGCATGAAAGAGTAGAGACGATCTGGTTTACTTTAACATTGAAACCTATGGCGGTTGTATCACATAACTGTTTTTAATTATTAAATGCGATACGTTGTATAGTGATGATATTATGCAAGCCACAGTTTTTTTTCAAATAGGATTTAATATATATCATTAAAGCACTTTTTACTGCATTTCGTGCATTTTTTCACGTGTAATTCTTATACAAACATCTTTACTTTGGTAAAACGGTAAAAACTCTAAGCACAAAATTTATGAACTTAATTTTGCGTAAAAATAAAGTAAAATTAAATAAGACTGATAGTACTTGATGCTTTGAAATAAATAAGGTATAATTAAACAAGATCTGATAATTAAAAAAAAAAAAAAAAGTTAATGAACATTTTCAGGTAGTGATTTTCCAAACTATAATGACATTACGAAACGGTTATTTATTTGATTATATTATCATTAAATTATTAACATTAAAGTGGATTAGTTATTTTAATAATTCATAAATTTCGGAGCATAAAATTTTCTGAGCGTAATGAAGGGAGAGAAAAAAGATAAAATAAAATCTAGAAGCACTCAGATTTTATATTACGCCCAAAAGGAACCTTTATTTAAAATTTTGTGTGTTACCTATATTTATTGAATATCATGTTCTTCGCCAGTAAACCACATATATTTGAAAACAGCACATCTTTAGAATTTCCGCACTGGAAATAAAACTGTTAATTTCCGTATAGTGCTCGATCTGAACTCGTTGAGTTTGTTAATCAAAAATTCATTAAAGTTTTACAAAATATGAACTAGATTAAAACAAATTCGAAATTCGGCCGTCCAGATGTCTATGTTCGGGTGGAGGATTACATTATTCAAAATTTTATGGCTCTTGTTACAGTCGTTTTTGTGCAGTGCGAGAAACATACATGCATTCATGCAGATTCTTTATCATTTAATTTCTTTACATATAATACAAGGCGATAATATTTGATAACAACAATTTGCAAGGAAACACGGGCATTTATAGTAAAACAGCGCAAAATGCCACTTCGAAACTAACAGCCTTTCTAGGCTACCGCCGCTTTGGGCTAATAAATTAAATTAACAGTAAATTAAAAAAACCTGATGCAGAACTAAAAATATATTAAAAAAAATTAATTACTATAAAAAAAAAATCTGAAATGTTTCAGATTTTAAATTACGTCCAAAGGGGCGTTTTTTTAACATATTGTGTGTTACCTTTCTTTATTAAATATCATGTTCCTCGCACTTAAACCATAAGATCCAGTGCAACAGCAATATCGCAAAATAGTTTTAAAACGAGCATATCTTTAGAATTTCCGATACAGAGACTCACGCGCTGGAGATAAAAATGTTTTTTCTGCACAACGTTGCCATTGCTCGCTTTGAAATCCTTGAGTTTGTTAATCAAAAATTCGTCAAAGTTTTAAAAAATAGGAAATCGATCCTAAAACAAATTTCAAATTTCAAATTTGGTCTTCCACATGCTCATATTCGTTGGAGGATTACGTTATTCAAAATTCAATGACTCTATGTACCGTTGTTTTATCACAATGCGAGAAATATACATACATTTATGCAGATTTTTCATTATTTAATTTCTTCAAATATAATGCAGGACTCTAACATTTTGTGGCAACAGTTTGAAAAGTGAACCGACATTTATGAGTCCGACGCAAAATGCCAAAACGAAACTAATAGTCCTTCGGGATTCAAATCCCTTTGGACTAAAAATACAAGCAAAATTAATTATTACGGTTAAATACAATTTTAATATTAGAATTAAATGTATAAAATTTTTAAGGAGTCAAAAGTGTTTATCACTATGATGTATTATGAAATATAATTGAAATAAAATTCCTTTATAGAAATTATGCTGTAATAATAATCTATAATTTTAAAAAAGCAGCACAATTTAGAATTTTTAACAAAACTTTCGAAAATTCGTTTTTAAATATTTTAGTACTTTTTACTTATTTACACCAATAAAAAGCATAAAAATTACAAGATAAAATTGTTTGTTTGAAATTTTCTATTAGTTCAGATTTAAAATATTTTCTCAAAGAAGTAGTTACAACTTTCCTTACAGTATGGGAAAAGCTAAAAAAATATCCAGCCCTGAAAGCATGCAATAGCTTTATAATTATTGGCAACGTTAATTATGCTTGATAAATATGCTAAATTTTTAAAAATCAATCTTAATTTCAAAAATAAAAATATGTAGAAATTCTGATTTGTGAAATGGGGCGCTACAACCAGCTTTTTCTTGACAATTATACACGTTGAAATAGGCAATTAATGTTAAATTTCTACAAGTCGTCCCTACTCCTCCGGATGTGATCAACGTGACAGACGGCAACGCCTCAGACGAGGAAGAAAACCCGTTTGGGTTAGTCTATTTCTTATAAGGTCCATGTGTATCACTGGGCAGTCAAAATGTCGTGATAAAAAACAACAGCGATCAGGCAGTATAGGAAATCGCACCCATACCATCATACTCATCCGTTTGGAGGTGTAATGCACGACAACAAAAATTTTAGCATTCGACAGAAAGAAAAAAAAAAAAAAAAAAAAAAAAAAAAAAAAAGAAATTCATATTGATAACAGAACATGGCATCAGAAATGTACTTACCCGGCGTTGCTGTATGCAATAAGATTAAGTAAGTTTGCTTTGGTATATGTGATGACACAAGGCAATGTAAAGGCCTTGCGTGCTATTTATTGCCTAAGGACAGGGATGCCTTCCTGGAGGACTTTCTAAAGGAACTCGCTTGTATATATGTTACCATGAAAGACCGAAGTTGGAGAATGTCGACTTTCACGGGAGAATATCAACATTCACCAAATACGTCGGTGAAAGACCGAATATTTCACTACATTCTTGTATATTCGGACCCTCACCGATGTATATCGACAATCACAGATATGCTCTGGTGAAAGTCGAAAAGATAGGCAATCGTAAAGAGACGACTGGCTGTTTCCCGCCATAATAGTTTA